AATSAAWTTRRCCTKAWWWGATTGCAATAAACAGACTGAAGCAGGTGAGCAAAAAAKGTTTTTCCATAATTTGCAAGCACAATTTAATCAAAATTACCATTTGAAATAGTCAATTTCYGAGCATTCTTTCCGAATAATAATCTATAGCTCAAGAGTGAATTTTTATTAACCCAAGAATCCTGCAATTTTCTGGAAGTTATCAAAGCAAACAAGCACTTTATGGGTCATTCAATTAATGCGGAAAACGTTGCAAGAACAGTCAACAGTTTTCGTAAAAGCACGGAAAAGAAATCATAAATGACTAATACCAGTACTTTACGCCAACCTCGCACTTTCTAAGCGACTAAAAAATTAATTTCGGCGTAAACCCTGACTGTAAGCCCACACAGAAAACCTGTTTACCCTATAGATTATTTTAAACAGGCGAAGCCAGTTAATTACTCCTATGTTGGTATTGTTTGCAAATGCTTTTCTTTATTTTCATTACCTGGGTATGACGCACATCTGAGCTATTATTACGTGAATTAACATATTCAACCGCAGCTTGTCGTCATATAAATACAGGGTGAACGAATTTTCTAGTAAAACCATCAAGAAAATATGGTTTATAAGGTTTTCTTATCTTGAATAAAACACACCGACAAAATACAGCAGTGTAAGTTATATTCTTGAGTTCGAGAACACGTTAAATTGAATGAAGATTATGACCACCCTGTAGCTTCAAAGACAAATATTTTGCAAGCCGAATATTAATATAATTTTAGAAATTCCGCCTGCAAAATTTCAAAATTTTGTGTCTAAAAACGACGGAGAAATTTCCGATTTATCCGTCGATGATCCGAACTATAAAGTTCAATCCGATTACCTGAAAACCTGTCCATTTTTCGGTCATATTTCATGTAACAAAAAAAATGTACATGATAATTCAAAAATAAAATAAAATACAGGAGGCTCCATTAGCGAAAAGATATTTTCTGTGCAACTTTTCTCCTTTCAAAAGCAAGCATGGTTTTTTTACAGGTTCGTGGAGTTGAAATAGGAATCGTCCTGATCGTGTTGGTGGTTTGGGTGGCAGCCATCGCTCTCTTCTTCAATCGCTGGGGAAAAATCAGGATGCTGCTGCCGTATCAGCCCGATTACAAGCAGGAGCAGCTGAAGGTGCCAGGAACTGCAGCTTGTGCCGCTGCAGTTGCGACCGGGAACATTTGCACGCATCATACGCCGGCTACCATTTGCCAGCAGGTAAATACTTAGCAAAAAAATGTACTTGTTCAAAAAGATGGAAAAAACGTGCTGTTCAGCTAGATGAAGTCTCGATCGGTAGGAGAAACATTTAGTTATTGCAGGAATAATGTCCCAAATGCCAAATTGTGTTGTTTCATGCTTGCCGCTTCTTCTGTTGGTTCTTACGAGCTTATTCCTATTCAGTGTCTACCAAAAAAATATAACTTTAGTGCTATTAAACATACAAAAGGGCTTAAATTAGCACACCGAAGGTTCATTTTTCACGCCGGAAAAGCTGCACAAGGTCAAATTGAATATCGTGTCGTCTTGTTTTCTACTCTTTTTATTCTGTCTTCTCTGCTGTTTCTGTTGAGTAAATTCTCATCTCCCCTAACTGAATTCAATTGGGATCAAGTGATTTAGTTCTTTAATCTAAGATTAAGTTGCGATGTGAACCAATTATTTTATTTCAATTTTTCAACCATTTTATGCCCAGCTGCACGACTTCCTTTCAAAATTCGTAACTTCCAATAAAGCGCAGGCAGCGACTTGAAATTCATACAGCCTAAAGAAGATACCTGTAGCTAAAAACCCTCAACATTTCACTCAAATCGGATAAAACCCTAATTTTTGAAAATTTTAGTATGATGGCCGAAAAATTAACATTTTTGTACAGCGCAAGTCTCCCTTTAAAAATTCGCAACTTTCAATTACGAGCAGGTAGCAACTTGAAAATCGTTCAACCTATAGGAGACACCTGTAGCAAAAACCTTTCAACATTTCACTCAAATCAAAAAAACCTGATTTTTTGAAAATTTGAGAATTATGGTTGAAAAATTTACATTTTTGTCCAGCTGGATATCTTCCTTTAAAAATTCGCATCTTTCAATTAAAGAGCAGATAGCAACTTCGAATTCGCACAAGCTATAGAAGACACTTGTAGCTAAAAACCCTCAATATTTGACGTCAATCGGAAAAAAACCCGATTTTAGAAAAATTTGTGAATGATGGTCGAACTGCGAGTGTTTCTTTAAAAAATCGTAACTTCCAATCAAGAGCAGATAGCAACTAGAAATGCCTACAGCCTATAGAGGACACTTGTAGCTAAAAACACTCAACACAAACCTTTCAACATTTCACTCAAATCGGAAAAAACCCTGATTTTTTGAAAATTTGAGAACAATGGTCGAAAAATTTACATTTTTCTGCAGCTGCACGTCTTTATTTAAAAATTCGAAATTTTCAATCAAGCGTAGATAGCAACTTGAAATTCCTACAACCTATGGAGGAGACTTGTAGCTACAAACTCGCAAGATTTAACTCAAATCGGCAAAAAGCCGTAATAGTTTATGCCTAGCTGCACGACTTCCTTTAAAAATTCGTAACTTCCAGTGAGGCGCAGGCAGCCACTTGAAATTCATAAAGCCTATAGAGGACACTTGTAGCTAAAAACGCTCAACATTTCACTCAAATCGGAAAAAAAACCTGATTTTTTGGAAATTTCAGAATAATGGTTGAAAAATTAACATTTTTTTCCAGCTGCACGTCTTCTTTAAAAATTCGCAACTTTCAATCAAGGGCAGGTAGCAACTTGAAATTCGCACAACCTATAGCAGACACTTGTAGCGTTGATTGAAAGAGTATTATTAACTTTCTGATCTTTTGTATTTTTTACGATTCTCCGAGCGTTTTCGAGTTACTCGCAAATTGCGTTAAGAATGTAATTTTGCAGGTCAGAAGTTTGTCGTTTATTGAACTTTGCCTATTAAAAATGTTACCACCCTGTACAGAAACAAGAAACAACATGACTCAATATCCATTTTTGCTAAAAAAATGTGGCCACATTATGGCTGATTATTTTTAAAGGCGAATTTTAAGTTGCAACATTTGCCAAAATGCCTTTTTAATAGAGTCTTTTATTTTAAAAAATCACATTTCAAATTACCATTTAATTATTTAATTAAAATATTTGGTTATAAAAATATTTCATTTATATTTAAAATATGTTAAACTTTAAAACTTAAATTCTACTTGTGAGATTCGATTGTTTTGTGAGAATCATGCATCATCATTCAATCCCAGATTCTCAAATACTAAATTCAAAATTACATCAAGAATGGAAAATTGAAAAACCATAATTAAATTTCAATTATTATGAAAAAAATTTAATTACAAGCCCAACTAGTAAAACAAAAAAATTTGGACTGAAATCTGATTAAACAGAACTCAGTTCCATCAACTCGCTTAAGCAAATGAGCTCGAATGGAAGGAAAACTTTAAATTCGATGTGGAACTGAAATATGGTTGAACTTTATTCAATTATAGCGCTTCGAAACAAGGGCTTAAAAATAATTTAAATTTCTAATAAAGCAAATGAGTTTAACTTGTTGACTATGTATTGGTAAAAAGCGAAAAACATCAGCAATTCAAAGTGATCTAAATATCATTTACTAGAATTGTATTGGTTTACACGGACTGGAAATGGTTAAATGAACCTACTCGTAATTATATAATAGAAATATATAAATTAATTAAGTTAGAATTATCGAATTTTTGGCTTGTCGTCTGGAAATGCTGAGATTCGCTTTGAAACTACAAAACACACCATTCAATCCAGGCCACTAGTTGTTGTTATTGTGTTTCCATTTATCGGGATTCACCTTTATGGAATTGAGTCTTAATGGGTCATACAAATAGTAGATCGATAAGACACGTTGTAAACCTTTGCCTTTTTCCACCTAAAAATACTCAGTCTTTCCATTACTATAACAACTTGGATATTAATGGCGCATTGGATTCTTTTATAATCGCAAGATCGGCCCTTGTAACCGATTCCCGTTTTTATTGCTTATTGATTGATTGGCTGTGTTCATTATTCAAGCCATCGACGAATACGAGGAGGAAAAATGACGAATTTCTGTGCATTTTCCCCATAGGGTTGTGGTATTTGGGACACCTGCTTTAGCACGCCGCGCCTTACAAGAGAATCGAAGGACTGTGGCTGCCAATTTGCCCTTCTACATCGAGCTGAGGGAACCTAGCAAGAAGTTTCCGACGTGATCGCATTCGGGGACTCATCCGATCACGTCGAGAATCCTCCTGAGCTAAGTCGTGTCGAAATGTTATTAGCCGAACATGAGCCGATGTTTGCTAAACAGGACTCAGTTTACTCAGATTATTATGTTAGCAGTTCGATCGATACGGACACGTTAATAAACCAAGAGTCTCTAAGTGGCGTAAGTTGGGCACCGAGGGGATTTTGCACTTTGATCAATTCAGGCACTGCTTTCCAGTCGAAAAAGAAAACGCTTCAGGCACTCAAGATGGTTTGGGCTTACGCACAAATAAGTGGCTCTCAATCAGAGGATCTTCAAAAAATGCAAAAAGACCAATTATAACACAGCACGGTTTGAAAGCAAAGAAATGCAGAGTGGATCGCCTTATTCGAGACTGTATCTCCATACGTTTACTCCAATTTTTTGGTGACAAGCGGTCACATTTTAAATTCCGCAAAATACCTAGCAAACTTGTGTTTTTTTAATGGAACACGCAATGGCCATTCATGCATAATTTATGACATACTAAACTACCTTTTTACTAGTTAAAATACAATTTTTTTCATTGGATATTTGCACAGGATGTACGAAACTTAGGTTTCAAAATTAAATAATTTTTGACTGAAATTTCTCGATTATTTTAAATGGGACACCCTATATATTTTTGCATGATCGGATAAAAAAACTAATGTTTTTCTAAAAATTGTGATGACGTCAACCGTTGTTCACATAATTGCGATTTCCTGCACAATCAATCAGGCAAAAATCGAAAATTTGATAAAATGTGGAAAAAAGAGGATAGTCCGACGTCCGAAAACTTATGTTTCAAATTTCAAGTATCTCTGTGAATAAAAGTGAATTTTGGATCATATTTCCACAGATTCTTCGTCAAATTTTTAACAATTTTGAGAAGCAAACATTCTTATTCCTGCATCAGGAAGGAAAACGCTTTAAACATTTAATTGATTAGTCAAGTTATTCGATGAATCGCTTTGCTTAATTATGTCAGTATGTAGTTGCAATTAGTTTTTTAACTTATATGTAAATTTAGTGTTAGTAATAATATTTCGTTTATCAAAAAGTTCACATTTTCTATATTCATTTTTCCGTAGAATTAAATATTGCAATTATGGAAAATCGGGTGTTTATTATTCAAGAACTGCTAGGACCCGAGGATTTTGATTTTTATTGCGCATTTTCTGAACTAATTTTCCATTTATACAAGATGACCCAAAAAATGTTATGATTTCTAGGCCACTTTTGCATAGAACCCCCACTTTTTCTATTTTTTTTCGGTTCTTTTCAAAATTCTAATATTTTTTATGTAGCACACTCTAAATCTTTAACGTTTTCGAGAAATTTGCGTCTGGAAATCGTATAGTAAAATTATTCTTTTTTAAGCCTTCTCGAAACATATCACACAAATCACATTAAAGAATCCAAGGTTTATGTAAATCGGACGCAAAACATCGAAGACTTAAAAGCCAAATTTTGACAAAAAATTAAGAATATTGACAGAAACGCATTTAATAATATTCAAGATGACCTTGGTTTCTGTGAAGAAACCAATGGATGGAAATTCAAGCACTTAACTTTTAGTCTTAATTTTAATTAGTATATAAATTAGGGTGACAATTTTGCTTACGCCTTTCAGACCCCAATTTCCCGAAAATCGTAGAGGACTAAATAAAATTCCAAAAATAATGCTCTATTTAAAAAAGTTGCTCTCGATATTAGAACTTTGTTTTGAATCGCCCTGAATAAATAAAAACTAGTTCAGAAAATGCACAATTTTAAAGAAATCGACGGGTTTGAGCGATTTTTCTAAAAATAAACACTTGATTTTCAAATAATTACATTCGCCGCTCCGTTTGGTCTGTAACGTTTTTGGGAGACGCCCTGTATAGCAGGAACGTTTGGTAAACTTTAAAATATGGTCCACTTAAAACCCTAAATGACGACAAAAGTTGTATTAGAAATAACTATTATTTCCTTGTTAAATAAAGTCTCGAATATATTTGGTACAGGTCCTGCATATGCGCATATTTAAAAAATTATCACAATGATACCAAATGCGTCAGAAAAGTTGCAGCACTGAAAACACTGTGCACTGAAAACACTGAGCACTGAAAATTAGTAGCTTCAATGAATTGAACTTAATTTTTTCAAGTGCATTTAGCTCTTGTCGATTTATTATTTTATTGTTGTTATTTTACCAACGTTGAATAAGTAGTTTAGTTACATTGTACTGTTAGTATTTAGCAAAAATTTAAAAAAAAATTGCCCTTGATAAATAACACTAGCAATATACGGGTGAGCCATTTAAAAAAGGGCGATTTGAGCTTGGAAATACGTTAGTTTAGACTGTTATTATAACCACCCTGTAGTTTCAAAGACAAATATTATGCAAACCAAATATTAATGTGGCTTAATCCTTTCTTTGGCCAAATTTCAATTTTTTGTATCAAAGACGATGGAGAATTTTCCATGATCTTTGGACCCCGCAAAAAACTATCGAATTTTCGTTCATGTTTTATGTAACAAAAATTAATTAAAATTTACAGAAGAATTCAGTAATTAAATAAAGTTTAGGGTGTGCAGTCTGTATCCTTCTGAACATTTGTCAATTATGCCCGTTAAGTGCCTTGACAATAAGACGATGAAAATTTAGAAACAAATAATATCGGTTAAGAGCAAACTTGCTTTACTCTATCGTTAGGACATTCAGCCAAGCAAGACATAAATCGGACAAAAACCAAATAATTTTATTCAGTTTTTTATCCAAAGTAATTAAGATTATTGGAAAAACGACCAGAGCAAATGTTTACAAAAAAATATTTGAAAAATTCGCCGCCCTCGTCGCTCTAAAGATTTTTTAAGTTCCTTTAAATTTTCAGGTCATTCCAGTTTTAACAAAGTTTCTATTAAGCAATTCTTTATACGCACAAATTTTCTCCGAACTGAAAAAAGCGATAGTTTATAATCATTTATTTGGAAAACTCTTGGAAACTGGGGTTTCTTCACTTTTAGGTCAATATTTGTCAACACTGTCTCTAAACAGGAAAACCGCGTTTTTCCTAACGTTTTGCTGTAAAATACTGGCAAACTGAATCTTTTATGCAAAAAAAGTGATCGATTTTGCAAGAAAATTCGAAGACTTTTTTGGACTCAGTTCTGTTGCTGAGAGAATCTAGATTACTTCTGATCTGGTCTTGTAAACCTTTAATAAATGACTTATAACTCATTAACCGATGAGTTTTAAACCCTGTGTCCCATGCATCCGTTTATACCTTTGAATATAAAACTAACTAACTAACTAATTGTTAGTTTTATATTCAAAGGTTTATACGGATTGACGGAGGACGAATTGACAGATCTCCAACCGATAGAAACACTTTCGTATCATCGTACCATCGTATAAACGAATGCATGGGACACAGGCTTTACTCGTTAACTCAGAGAGCGGTAATAACTCAATAGCGCAACTCAACACAGTGTTACCCAGGCCTACTCGACTCCTAATAAATTGGAAGCACAGCCGATTTCACGACAAAAATTAGAATCAATTTTTTCAAAGCATTGAGGTATTGCACAGTAATCAGTTTTACACCACATTTTCACGATTTCGCTTTGCAATTGCAAAGTTTTGAGTATTTTCATATTCGCTTTTGGCACCAACCAAAATCGGTGCTCAATCAAACCGATTAGTTGAAATCCGGCAATTAATCGAATGAAAACAAGCTGATTTAATAATATTTTGCTAAACCAAAGCAGGCATTGATGGGGTTTGTTGTTGCTCTTTCCAAGAGTTTTGGGGAATAATTACAGAAAATGCCGCGCTCGAGAAGCTGGTTTATTTAAAAAGGTCCACCCCCAAAGGGAATTGCGGGAAATGTAAACATTTCCCGAGAAACCGCTTAGGACACAATGGAAAAATCATCCCATTAACTTGGGGAAAAAGGTTTTCATTCGATTAAATTAATCAGTTGCATTTAAGGGTGCATAATTGTTGTGGTTTTCCAGGTTCATGCTCAGCCACCTCGTACACCCCGTCCTCGCATGAATTCTGCCATCTTCGTATCGAACAGTGGACCGGGAATCGATCCGAAAGAATTTTTCCGTCGTTATGGATCGGTTTCCAAGCTATGCCGCAAGGCCAGAAGTGTGGACAATATCTCTTTGGAAGAGAAGCATTTTGGGCTGCCCACGTTGTCCATTAGCGGACCATCGCCTCCGGAAAACGACGAGGAAGATGAGGAGGAGGAAACCGAAATGGACCTAATGGAAAGCTGCATACCGTAAATGAACTGATTTATGCAAACGCTCTGGAAAGAGTGCACCATTACAATTATTGTTAGTGTCCTAAGTATACATACAACAAGGTCTTATCAATATAGGTGTAATTTCGTCCTACTTAGGTTTATTCTACGTAACTCTAGTGCCGAAACTCGCCGAATCCTCTAGTTGGAAACTTTCCAGCGAATTCACGAATTTATGGAAGTAACATGTGGACCAATTTCTAGATTAGTGACAAAAATTACTTAGTGACTTATCATATTCTTATCGATAGCACCATTTCGTTAACTTTTAGCTAAAGGTGCTTGTGGAATTTCCATTGGCGCTTCGGGCCGACGCTCGTTCAGAAGTTTCAACTACAGGATTCCACTTAGAAACTGTATCCAATAACATTGTACATACATAACATAGACCAATAATGACCAATTTACCCATTAAAGGCGCGTCATCTGAAACTCATTGAAAACTAATCGCAACTTAATTATTTTGCGCGCATCAAAACCACGGCCAAACATTTTCATTACCATCAAGTACCACTAGCTCAAACTAATTCTAAGTCTGTATTTTTCTACTTCTCTTTTTGCTTTTGTACATATAAACCTTAATACACTATATTCTGATACTGAACAAGTTTTTGCTTGGTTTTATTCAACTTCCACAGCCAGCCTTCGCATTCCCAACAGTTCAGAACTTACCAGCTGCCTGCCAAAGACTAACAGTAGCTGGGGATCATCAGCTGCGGTTTGCCCATGATTAGCGGCTGCTGCTCCTTGGGACAAATAGTAATACTGAAAAAAATACTCAGTTGCCATTTATGAAGATTCACGGTTGCCCATTCGAAACCTTTGCTTGCTCTCCAGGATTTCGACGGTGATTTTTTCCAGATGGATTTTTGGCGTGCTGAAGAACCTCCATGTGAACGGGTTGAGGCTGTTGCTCAAAACCCACTCGACTTCCACTGCTTTCAGATGAGGGATTTCATCAGTTGCGATCACTCTAACGTAGATGCGGCCTAGAATCAAAAGACTTCCCAGATAGCATTTGATATTCTATGAATATCCCAGAAAGTTCAAAAATATATACAGAACATTGCGGGAATATCCTGGGAATATACATGGTTGAACATTCCTAACATAAATGTTTGTGGAGTATACATGCAAAAATATATACTAGGTATGTACATATTGTGTATATGTACAGGTGAATATACCTAGTATGTTCAAAACAAATATTCCGGTAATATACATGAATGTATATCTACGATATTTTCCAAATTGGTTGAATATAAATTTTGCGTGCCCGCAGCAGAAAAGTAAGGGCATGTAAAAGTAAATCTTCTTACTACTAAAACCTGAGACCCTTATGAAATACTGAAAATATGCTGTTTTGATTAACAAATTAACAAAATGTATCGAAAATAAATTTTACGTGCCCGCAGTACACACGTACACGTACAAGTACAAGAGTTTATATGAACTTTTCTTTTTAAATGCGTCAACGTTATAATTTTATTGGGCAATATTACTAAAACTTCTGAAAAGCTGCAAAGCTTATAATTTATTGGTTATTGGCATAAATAAATTATTATGTGCTATTACACAAATCTTGATTTTTTAAATTACCTATATGATTGTAGATTTATGAGTTACTAGAATACTGTCTTTCTAAGCAAGACAAAATTTAGATTTTGTCAATATCGGTTTATCAGTGATGTGATATCCGAGGTGCGACAATTCAGCACTTTTCCATGATTG